GGGTGTATATGTGTATCGGGTCTCTACTTGGGTTGTAGTAGAATAGAACTTATTCGTGGGCCTGACCCACTATTATTTTTCAGGTGTTCGACAGTTCTAATCTTAGAGCTTGATCGTGCCGAGCATAGACAGTCATCATCACTCTACCGACCTGATGTAGGGTTCTATCTATGTTATCTTCTTTTCAGTTTTATTTCCAGTTAGGATATTATTAGTGGTCCACTTGATGGATTCCCGAGTTGTAATGATATTGGAGGTTTTGGATATTTTTTCATTTGGAGGAGTATCTATTATTTAACTTAAGGATTTATTATTTAGTTTCTCTTTCCGCTCTTGTATTTATTCTTAGTTATTTATCTTTTGTATTCAATATTTGTTTATTACTTAATTGTTTGATTTCCCTTGGGTTTGGGCTTGGACTTGATCAACCCATATCTCGAAGTCAAGAGGTGTAATACCCCTAATTTTAAAAGGATAGTCTCGGTATTATTTTAGTATTTTAATTGTATTTTTTAATTGTTTATTTGATTTCTTGGCTAATTGTTTACTTATTTAATTGATTTGATTGTATTCAATACTTGTTTATTACTTAATTATTTGATATCCCTTGGGTTTGAGCTTAAGCCTGATCAACTCATGTCTCAGAGTTGAGGGGTATCACATTTATCATCAGTCTACCTCTTCGGATCCTCAAATAATTAGCATTATCTCCTGATACCCGAGACACAATTGAAATATAACTCCAGTCCACATCCTTCAATTTTTAAAACACAATCTATTTGGTATGCAGCACCTACCATCTATCACTTCATCCGCAAACAACCGAGCACTTCAACGACCCCATACTACCTGCCTTATCGCGCAACCCTGCACTACACAGCTAAAACTAACCACTAAACACCACTTCGAGACACTCTCGACAACCGTGACAACCTATAAACCCGCTTTATCGACCGAGCCATGCAATCAACTCACCATGAGTCGATTACCCGCGACACACTCCTGTAATTTCCTGGAATAGGAATCACTTCTCAACCAACCATAACCAACACACTTCCTTAGACCGTACTAGAACACTCGCAATACACATCTACAACCCATAGACTACATTCGTGACTCAAACAACCTTTTTCACACCTGTCATGACCGGTTCGTAAAGAACCACCGCACCAAATCATAACCCAAGTCACAAACACTAACCTCCTAAGGTCATACCTTTCTCTCTCGAAACCCTCACTCGCACACCTGACCTCCACGGTCACAAGAACCCATCCACCGATGCATGGAATTCACACACAACAAAGACGCCATGCCATGAAATATGAACCCGTTCTAAAGTCGTACACTAAGCACTGCACAAAATGCAACAAGACGATCAAAATGACTACATACCAAATAGCTCAATCCACGAGCTAGGAATCCAAGCCACTTGTTCGATAAGAACCGGCACCCAAACAACCCTAGAGTAACTGAGCTTCTCGTATACTCTGGTCAAAACTGACACAACTATTTATGTTGCTACAAGTACTCTACCGCACTAGCAACCACCTCAATGCTTAACTACATAAACACATAAGAATAAAGATATGTATACATATGCAAAATAAATGAAACCTACAATACTATACAAAATATGCTTGCATATACCATGCTCATTACTTGTCACATTAGTATAAAAGAAAATTGCACCAACCGTGCCTACTGCTTGCCACCGTTATGTATTACATACTTTCCATCTTATCATGTATAACATGCTTTCAAATACTTTCACATTTCATTACATAGTTGCATAACCATGTAACACAAATTTTAACATTTAAACACGAAAACATATGAACACTTATCAAGAAAGCATGTCTTTCAAAAATGTAAACATATAAGCAAGTAACAAGTAGACATACTTCTCAAAGCAACAAACGCTTTAGCATGCAACACCTTTAAATCACTCAAGTCCCACTTAGGTCAACCCTACCCGTCATTCTTAGGTTTTCGAAGCTAAAGCTCTGATACCAAATTTGTAATGACCTAAAAAAAATAAAAAATAAAATTAGGTATGACCTTTACAGAAAAAGTACTACTACGACCTGCTGAAATACATATAAAATGCAATGGCCTCAAAACTAATCTATCATGTCTCAACGCACAATGCAATAATATACAACATCCCCAATATCAACGCATACATATAAAATGTCCCATTTTTCCATTTCATCTAAACAAGGAATCGCTTTAATTACATTAAGTTACAGTTCATGATATATATTATTTACACAAATTTTACCATTACAACACCATACAAGTTACACTTAATTTTTATAAAAGGTATATGATCTTGTTTCCATACAAAAGACAATAAAATAAGAGTTCTACTCCTGTCTTAATTTGCGATGGGTTATTGCCCGCCCATTCTTTCCCCAAATCTGAAAATTGTTAAAATAATGGGATGAGCATAAGCTCAATAGGAGATGTCTAAGACACACCTCTTAATAACCTCGTGAATCCACACAAAACATAGGCTAAAAGTAAATGGGATCATGTCAATCTGGGGAAAAACACAATGACGACAACAATATCATCGAAAACTATAAAGCAAGTCATCAAACCATATGTTTACAATGTATGCCAATGTAATGCAATGACATGCCAATGTCGCTCCCCATTTTTCAAATCAATTCAATTTCACCGTTCCAAACCGTTAATGCGACCCGACCCATAACACTTTTATAACGTCACGAGATAAGGATTACTTAGCTTTCCTCGACCACATGGCACCTCCATGTCATCGTCTAGGCCTAGGCAGGGGCGGCTCAAGCTTTAGGCGAGTTAGGCAGTCGCCTAAGGCCCCAATCAATAAAAAGGCTCTAAAATATTATAGTTGCTTTATATATGATATATTGTAATTGTTTCCTTATTGAACACTAATTTTAAAAAATTTATTCCCTAAAATAACTCTTTTTTTTTTTTTCTCCTTATCATCATTCACGCATTTTCATTAAATTTTAACCAAGAGAGAAATTATTTATCTCCTAAAATATCTCATTTTTTTATTTATTATTTATCTGCTAAAATATCTCATTAATATTTTATTTTTTTGTCTATCTTATACACGTTTTTTTTTTTTTTTTTACACCAACACTATATATATTTAATATTTTTGAGGTAAGTTGAACGATAATAAATATTTAGCTGTTGTATGGGGAAGCCAAAAAACTCTCCATATTCTCTTTTTCTAGATTTTTATTTTATTTTATTTATTTATTTATTTTCTTATTCCTATTCTTCACGTTCATTCTGATTTCTCTCTTCTCTCAGCAAACTCAATAAGTTCCTTATAAGATACCAAACTCAATAAGTTCCTTATAAGATACAAGGGAGCTATTGATAAATTTGTTACAACTAATAATTAAAACCTAATAAAAATTTAGGTGAAAGTTCAGCAAATGAACAATCAAATCATCTAAAAGAATTAAAAGATTATACAATAGTGAAAGAAAAAAATACTAGTGACTTGATTCACAATAATAATAAAAAACAACAAAAAGAATTGGAAGAAAGTGAAACAAGTAAACGAAAATCATATCCTAAGACTATTTCCCACAAATATATATGATCTTGGGAAAAATATTGATACAAAAGTAAGAGATTTATTAGTAAAAAATGGTCCAATTAGATTTAACCACACTTGAATATAAGAATTAGTAAGTTTTCATCTCAAAAAGTAAGAAGGATGATTTTTAATTAATTATTATTTAATAATTAATATATTACATATTATAATATGAAAAGGCCACTTTTATTTTTCGCCTAAGGCCTTGAGTTACATCGAGCCGCCCCTGAGCCTAGGTAGCTCAGCCACAATAGAGTCTCTCTTTATTTTCCTCTAGATCACATTAACACCACGGACCACTTTGCGTCTCCTAGGCGTCCAGTTTTCACAAACATCATTTCAAAATCCTTTCCCAAATCAATTTTTATTATTTCATGAAACAACTTTTTTCCATTTCATACCCAATGATAAATGCATGAAATGTCACATGTTATCCAATGTCAACATAAGAATATACTCATTTCATTAACATCATGCTAATATGTTTAAAAATAAATCTTTCCAAACCAACTCTTGTTCTCATTCTCAACAAATATAGCATTACAAGTAAATGGAGCATATAGGTAATTCAACTAAACGTTTATATTTCATCACAATTTAATTAGACATGCAACTTAGCACATACAACACATAAAAATACCTCATCATACTTCATTTATATATAATTTCAATAATCATAAATTAATACTCATAATCTAGTGAACAATTTTATAATTTCTATAAAGAAAACTCACAAAGGGTAAAGAAATTGTAGCTTAGAAACCTCTACCTCAATGGAAGTGAAAATCCCTAAAATCCTCAAATTTAAGCCCTAAATTCAAAATTCATAGACTTGGCCAAATGGTGAGTAGGTTCTATCAAAATGACGGCCTCGACAAGCTCTTCAACTTTACCGATGAAGTGTTATCAAATCCCAATTGGTGTGGAAGAAATCAAGATTTGAAAGCTTAATTGAAAGAAGAAGAACAAGAAAAAAAAAAAAAAGAAATTAAGGGGGGAGAGAGACTCAGGGAGTGAGAGAGATAAATAAGGCTACAAAGTGGCCTCTTAGCCTTTTAGAAAAATAAGTAGGAAGTGGGTCTCACAAAAATATCCAACATTTTAAAATTTTTTTTCCACCACAATATATATATATATATATATATATATATATATATATAAAGAAAATCATAAATATTACATGCACAAATAATTTGTTATTACAAAATTTGGCACGAAATTTTAAATAATAAAAATATTTTTAAAAATAAATTCAGTCTTTTCTTATGAGTAAGAAAACTTACTCACGTAGTTGAGTAAGATTAATGAACATTTAGTAGTTACCAAATTGGCGATATTTCCAATCCCCATAAAGGCAGTCAAACAAATGGATTGATGTGATTATCCCAAGAATCCTTAGCAAACTTTGCTTCTCAATCCCTACTCCCTCTCTCTCTCTCTCTCTCTAATACACGCACACTTGGTCTTTGCTTGGTAAGTTACGTTCGTGATGACGGGAGTTGAACGTGATGAGGAACTAAATCAGAGCTTGTTACATAATTCAGCATCAAACGGTGTAGTAGGTGACGATGATCAAGAGAAGAAAGACTTGAAAACAAAGGTGTGGATTGAATCAAAGAAGCTATGGCAAATAGTGGGTCCCTCCATCTTCAACAGGGTAGCCACCTACACGATGAACATCGTCTCTGTAGCCTTCGCTGGCCACCTTGGTGAGCTTGAACTTGCTTCCATGTCCATCGCCAACACGGTCATTGTCGGCTTCAATTTTGGCCTACTGGTACCCTTCTATTTCATTGTTCTCAATATTAATATAAATAATTTAAAATAAAATAAAATTATTCTATGTATTTAAAAAAAAAAAAAAATGCAAACCGACCATTTATCCATTTATAAAAATCATCCTAACACTTATTTTTTCCTCTTCTCTTTTATGTTCTTATTTTCACAAGTTTCTTTAATACCTTAAAAAAATAATAATAATAAAAAATAAATAAATAAATAAATTTTCATTCCCTTTCTTCGATCAAACCTTTCTCCAAAGTTCTCTAATTTTTCTTTTTGTCTTAAACTTTTTTAATAATAATTCTTACATCATATATGATGTATATGGAGTAGCTTTTTTCTCTCTTTCTCATTCTTTATTTTTTTCTCTTGTTCTTTAAATTTCACTCTATTATTATTATTATTTATTTTTTAAAATATCCAAATTAATTGTCCTATTTAAAAAATCCATGTAAAATAAATGCAATATTTCTATTATTGTCCTTAAGTTTTCAAAAAAATTCAAATTGTAACATGTATTAATTGCATGCATCTTAAAAACTTCAAATGCCAAAATGACACAGAGGGGAGTATTTTTCTTTTTTATATGTTTTTGAAAAATGATATAAGAACAACTATTTTTACCCGACTACACAACCTACTTGCTATGCATATTTGAGAAAGTATTTACATTCTTTTAGAAAGCTGACAAGAGTCTTTATTCAACTTGATGCGGAAAGTGTTTCCATTCTTTTATAGCAGGACTCTTTTTTCTTTTTTTCTTTCTAGAACAATGACATAGTAAAAAACCTGATCATGTTCATTACTGCACTTTTATGTTTTGTCTGTATAATAAAAAAAAACCTGATCATGTTCATTATGCTCCTAAAATAAATTTCTGGTTTCCTCCAAGGAAGGAGGATACATTAAATTTTTTGTATTCTTTTCTGAACTAACATTAATTATGGCTCTGTGTGAACTAGTTAGGAATGGCAAGTGCATTAGAAACACTGTGTGGGCAAGCTTTTGGGGCAAAAAGGTACAACATGTTGGGTATATATATGCAAAGGTCGTGGATTGTTCTCTTCTTTTCTTGTTTCTTGTTACTGCCACTCTACGCCTTCGCAACCCCTCTTCTGAAGCTGCTAGGGCAGACAGACGCGGTGGCCGAGCAGTCCGGGGAGGTGGCATTGTGGTTGATTCCACTGCACTTCAGTTTTGCATTTGTGTTCCCAATTCAGAGATTCTTGCAGAGCCAGCTCAAGGCTAATGTCCTGGCCTGGGTTTCGATGACGGTTCTCGTGTTTCATGTGTTCGTCAGCTGGCTCGTTGTGTATCAGTTTGGGTTTGGGATTGTGGGTGTGGCTGTGACATTGGACATTGCCTGGTGGCTCTTGTTTTTTGGGCTGTTGGCGTACACTCTGTTTGGTGGGTGTCCACAAACTTGGACTGGTTTCTCAGTGCAAGCCTTTTCTGGCCTCTGGGAGTTTGTCAAACTCTCTACTGCCTCCGGTGTAATGCTTTGGTATGTACTAGTCTCTCTTTAACCATCTATACATATATGGAGAATCTCTATAGACACATAAAGTCGTGATTTACGCGATGGTAGTGTACACAGAGAAGGGTGGGCATTGCCCCCACCTACCAGGGGTGAGGTCCACTTTGTCGGTGAGTACCATATCCCATATGGGGGTAATTTAATTTCACTCTTAGTCTGTGCATAGTATCGTGTAAGGTCATGTGTTAAGATGGGAATTCGAGGACTACATTCTATGTGAGGGTAAAATGGGACTAGGGTAAATATCTTAACTTATGTGATGTCTGTTTTGAGACGGATGCTAAGATGATGGTGGACGCTATATTGGGAGTGCGATATGGTGATGGTGCATGCTTATCTTTGGTGTCTGAGCTCCGGAACCATGCTTTAGCTGGTCTTTAGAGTGTTGACATAGAAGAGGATTTGGTGCTCCATTCGATCCCTCCTTTCATAGTTCAGCTTTTGGCGGCTGATGCTGCTGGTTCAGTTTGAGGGTTGGGTTGTTTTGGTGTGGTTGTCGCCCAAAAAAAAAAAAAAAAAAAAAAAATAATTTTATTCCAGTTCCATTTTAATTAGTCAATTCTTATATACAACTATAATGCACACATTGACTGGTTGTTAGTAAAAAACACAAACTTGAATGATTAAAGCCCCAGGGTAAATTAAAGTGAGACCATGTCAATATCAAAGAATTTGATGCACATGTACTTATATGACTGTTTTAAATAATTTGATTTAATTTGACGAGTATGTTTTTATTGTAGCTTGGAGAATTGGTACTATCGAATATTGATTTTACTTACTGGATACCTACCGGATGCCACACTTGCTGTGGACTCATTATCCGTCTGGTAATATTGTATTACCTTTAATATCATTGCCATTTCTATATATATATATAATTTTGAAATATTATTTGCCTCTCTTTACATGTTATATTATAATTTGGCAGCATGAATATTAATGGATGGGAAATGATGATTCCTCTTGCTTTCTTTGCTGCAACCGGGTACTGCTCTTTCGTCTTTTTATTATATATCTTACAATTTCCTTTGTATTTATTTATTTATTTTGGGTAATTGGGGGTATTTAGGATTTTGCCCCGACTAATTTCCGGACCACTGTACAAAGCGCACATCTACACAAATAAGATAAAATTCAAGTTTTCACTCGCATGAATGACCCCAAGAACTTATTTACGTCGAAGGAGAATCAAACCTTAAACCTTATATGCTTCATGAAATACCAAGTTCAACTAACTCACCACTAGAGTCAAAAGAATAATTTGGCCTATGAATCAAAATAAAAGTAACCTTAACTTAAGCTCTTTTAGGTCATAGCTTTGAAAACTTAAAAAATCAAAATATAATAAGTTCCCTCATTTTATGCCCTTGATGACTATGAATTGGGTAATTGAAAATTTTATCTTAAATTTTCTTTAACATTAACAATCTATATTAAGACGCTTAGTATTATATATATATATATATATATATATATATATATATATATATATATTACATTCATGTGTGTTGTATGGTAGGTACAGAGTGTTGTATGTAAAGTTAATTCCTGGTTAGTGCTTTCTCGAATGACTTTAAGACAAGCCCGTAAATGTATTAACCACCATACACTCGACCATTCTTATGCATTTTGTTGATGAATTAATTGGAGATCTTTTTAAATTTCTGGAGCCACTAAATTAAAATATTTTTATTTAAAACAGGTTGTTAGAAAATGTAAAAACTACAACAAGTATATCATTATAACAGACTCTAGATCTTATGTAAATTTTGTATTGTTTGATGAACAAATTCAGCAGCGTATACTTTTTAATTGATTTAGTATTTATTTCTTTTATAACACAATTTTAATATCGCAAAATAATCAATATATGGCTTTGAAAATGGGTTAAAATTTTAAATGACAATGATTTCATTTATCAATGAGCGAAGTTTATTCAAAAAATATTTAAAACATCTAGTATTTTACAAATACCTCACTTAAAATTCACACACAATATGTATTTATATCATCAACATGCAGCGCACTCGTGTCAGCGTAGTAAAACAAAAAAAAAAAATCAAAAACGTCTTAACTAAGCACATGGTTAAAATATATTTTATTTTATTTTAATCCGACAAAAAAGATGTACTAACAGAATTCCATGGACTTAACTTAGTTGGAAAAGATTTGGGTTATGGTGCCTCATGAAACATCAGGTCTTATAATTGATTCCTTTTAAGTGCAAACAGATCCTTAAGGGTCATGCTCGTGGACATAATTCGAGCTTTACTCAATCCTTGAGGGGGTAGATTAGTCGGGACAAAGCCTGAACACCCTGGTTATACCAAAAAAGAAGGTATTAACACAATGGTACTCAAACCAGTTTTGTGAATTAAGTATGGGTTGTTCAGATCCTAACTTTTTTTATTCTTGCCTTGTTTTGGGTTGGGAACTTGGTATAAATTTGACATTTTTGTCTTACTGTTGCACATCTAAAATCTATTGTTTTGTGCACAATTTGAAGGGTAAGGGTGGCCAATGAGCTAGGTGCGGGGAACGGAAAGGGAGCTAAATTTGCAACAAAGGTCTCAGTGGTGAACTCCACAGTTGTCGGCATCTTCTTTTGTGCTCTAATTATGATATTGCATGACAAAATCGGGTACATCTTCACGTCAAGCACCGTTGTTCTTGAAGCAGTCGACGAGCTCTCTTACCTCTTGGCCTTCACCATTCTCCTCAACAGTGTTCAACCAGTTCTTTCAGGTGATCAATTTGACATTCCCTAATTCGGTGACTGAAAAATGTATAGTATTTAACATTTTGATACAAATTATTAGACTAGTTTGCCAACTGTTACAGGGGTGGCTGTGGGATCCGGATGGCAAGCATGGGTTGCATACATAAATCTGGGTTGCTACTACCTTATTGGGGTTCCTCTTGGTTGTGTTATGGGGTGGGTTTTCGGCTTTGGTGTTCAGGTAAGTTTGGTTCTTGATAGGAAGAGCATTGCGCCGGTCATGTTTAGAAGTAACTGAATTGGCTCATTGAAATTGGAATGAAAGGGAAATTTACTTCAAACTTTGAAATAAATTTTCTCTAACTCCAATTTCAAAACGTTGATTCAATGCTCCGAACGTAGTATAAACATTATTATTTTTAAATAAAAAATTTAAGTGTTTATAATTTGTTGCAATCAGGGTATTTGGGGTGGCATGATATTTGGCGGAACTGCTGTGCAGACAATAATATTGGCCATCATAACAATACGGTGTGATTGGGAAAAAGAGGTACAAATTAACAAAAAATTCACTTTTATGACCTTTGTTCAAACTCATATATGCTAATATGAACTCTGTAATTCTTTTAAAATGGTGGATTTGCAGGCGGATAAAGCTACCAAGCATGTCCAAAAGTGGTCGACTCCTGATCCAGATAATAAATCATAAGCAAAATGTACTCGGGTCTACCACATTTTGAAGCGGCTCTTTTTTCATTATATTATAAAATATTACAGGTCGATCTTTCTTTCTTTCTTTTTTTTTTTTTTTTTTTTTGATAATTTGGTTAACATTGATTTCTAAGCTCTTTGGAGTGATTCGATTAATTTCATGTTCAAAGCTAGCATAGTTGAACAATTAGGGCTGTAGGCACTCATTTATTTGCTGATGAGATGACACAATCCAGGAAAAGGCTCTCATATTGTAAAATTTGTATCGACATTACTGCAACCCAGATGTTACCTGATGTTGTAAGTCTGGAAGTTGTTGAGGGGGTTTTTGTACCAATAAAAGTTGCCTATCAATGTAAACCATTGTCATGCCACAAGTGTAAATGTTTTGGACACTCTGACCTCAAATGCACAGAAACTTGTAAGATATCGGTGCCAAAGGCATAGAGTAATGTGAGTGGACAAGCTGATCATGGAAATCTGACTTTGGTTAAGGTTGTTAATAGCTTGATTGTCTCTAGCCTAAATCATGAGTCTGGAATCATTAATCCATACATTAATGACATGGCTTCATCTCCTGGTTTACCTTTGCCACTCATTAATGACACTCATCCTGATGGTGATGTATTACCACCCTCTACCTGTAACCACCCTATTGACCATCTGACCTTGGGAAAATCATCCATGCATATCCCACTGATCTCTCCTAAAGGACAAGGTCATCAAGAGAAGGTAGGTTTATCTCCCGCATCATCATCTTGTGCCTCATTGCCACCAGGTTTTGAACATTGCACCCCTTTATCCAATTTAGGAAGTTGTCACCAGACAAAGCTTGGGTTTTCAAAGCCTTTGGTTGTGGATTTGCAGGTTCCTTGCTCATCAACTAGATCTACCTCTACTCACACTTCAAATAGGTTTCAGGCTCTGTCATGTACAAATGATGGGGCAGAGAAGGATGAGGAGGTTAATTTGTACCTCTCTGATTAATGTTGAATGCGCTATGAGGCAGTTGACCGCTGAGGATGATCATGAATATGATTTCTAACCCAGACTTAGGGAACTCACAGCTAGGGGAAGGAAAAAAACTAAAGAAGGAAGCTTGGAGAGCTGCTAGGGCAGCCCATAAGGCTCCAAAGGCCGAGTATATTAGGTTCTTTATTGACCTACATATCCCACCTTCCAAATGATGTTTGCAGCATGGAATGTGAGAGGGATGAATAATCCCTCCAGATAAAGAGAAGTTGGGAAGTTCATTGATAACCAATTAGACTTTGTACAACTGTTGGAAACTAAGGTTAGATCTCTTAATGAACCAGTTGTACATAGAAGTATCTCTCAGTGGCCTCTAATCACTAAAATTTCCCATGCCCCTCTGGGTAGGATTTGGATCCTATGGAACCCCACCTCTGTGAATATTCAATGCATTTGTATGACTGACTAACTCATCCACATTTATGTTTCCAATGTTACTTCTAACTCTCTTTTTTGTCACATTTATCTATAAGGCTAACACCCCTGAGGAGAGGAAACCATTGTGGGATAAAATTAATGTGATAGGCTCCACCATCTCTTCTTCTCCATGGATTTTAATGGGGGACTTCAATGCTGTAAGATGGACAAGTGAGAGGCATGGTGGGACAGAACTGTGGACTCCAGCTATGAATTATCTTGATGAATGTTTGCTGGAAAATGAGTTATATGATTTAAGATATTCTGAACTGTTTCACACTAGGTCAAACAAATCACGAATCCACAATCCAATTACCAAAAAATTGGACAGAGTTGTCATTAATTTCACTGGCTTACCTCCTTCCCCAACTCCAACTGCCATTTTCTCCCACCTCTTGTTAATCTTGGACACCCTAACCCAACCAGAAAATGTCCATTCAAGTTCTTTAATTTCTGGGCTGACCACCCAGATTTTTTGGACACTGTGTCTGAAATATGGAGTACAAATGTTAGTGACGTCCCTATGTTCAGAGTGGCCACAAAGCAAAAAATACTCAAGCTTGCACTGAAGAGGCTCAATCATAACACTTTCAGTGACATTTCATTGAGGGTGTTGCAAGCAAAAAACAGACCTTGGTACTTGTCAAAACCAGTTGGATAGTAACCCTAGTAGTTTGGAGCTTAGGAAATAGGAAAAGCACTCATTATCACTTATTCAAGCCTCAGTAAAATTGAAGAACAACTTTTTTAGCAAAAATCAAGAATACACTGGCTTGCTTTGGATGATCAGAATACAATTTTCTTTCATAAGAGCATCCAAAACAGGCTTAATAGGAAGAAGATAACTAAAGTGACTTTGGATGGTGGAAGTATTTCAAGGGACAGTGATGACATTAAGATGATTTTCACCTCTTACTTCAAAGAGTTATTTTCACCTCTCAATTTATTTCTAAATCTGTCCAGGGTGATTTCTTTGATAACCTTAGCCTTATTCAAACTGATTTGGAAATTAGGAACTGTATTTTCTCTATAAAATTTAACAAGTCCCTTGGTCCAGATGGTTTTAATTATTTTTTCTACAAAAAAGGATGGCAGATTGTGGGGGAGGAAGTGACATTGGCTATCAAAGAATTTTTTCAAACAAGCAAAATTTTGAAAACAGATCAATGCCACCTACATTGCTTTAATTCCAAAATTCCTAAGCCTATATCTCCTGCTAATTACAGACCTATATCATGTTGTAGTGAGATGTATAAATGCATTTCCAAGCTTATAACTAACAAAATTAAGCCCATCTTGCCTACTCTTATTGACAAGGCTCAAAATGTCTTTGTTAAAGGTAGGAAAATAGGGAACAATATCATTTTGGCTCAGGAACTATTGAGAGAATACCATAAACCTTTGTTTTCTCCTAGGTGCACTCTTAAGGTTGACCTACATAAGGCTTATGATCATTTCCATTGGCAATTTCTTCTTGATGTACTTGAACTGATGCATTTCCCTCATATCTTCATTGGATTGATTAGATCATGTATCAACACTACTTCCTTCTCTATTTCTGCCAATGAAGAGTTTTGTGGCTTTTTTAGAAGCATCAAAGGTCTGAGGCAAGGGGATCCCCTATCCTCCATACCTTTTTGTCATAGCCATGGATATACTGTCATCCATTACAAACTCACAAGCACTAACCCACATTTCACTCACCATTGGAGATACAAAATTCTTCAAATTTCACATCTTTCCTTTGCAGATGATATCCTCATGCTTTGTCACGGCGATATTAACTCTGCAAGAGTTCTTAAGGAATCCCTTGATAATTTCAGTTTGCCTTTTGGCCTCACCCCAAACCTCAACAAAAGCCACATTTTCTTCAGTGGTGTGGCACCAAATGAGATGACAACCATTATCTACGGTGAACAATTCAACAGACAGAGCCTTGTCTTTTGCAGGTAGACTTCAACTCATCAAATCAACTCTTTTCAGCATACACATATTTTGCACAAATATCCTCATCCTACCTTCAAAAGTATGTGATCAAATAAACCAGATCCTTCAAAGGTTTTTATGGGCAGGGCCTAACATGACAAAATTTAGATCAAAGGTGGGATGGGATCAAGTCTGTACACCAAAACATATGCTGGTGGACTAGGCTTACACGATATTCAACTATAGAACAAGGCTGTTATCCTAAGGCACTTGTGGACTCTGTGTTCAAATGAGTCAAAAAGCTTGTGGAAGGACTGGATAGAGAACTATCTTATCAAACACACAAGTATTTTGGGACATTAGTGTTCCAAATGAAGGTTCATGGTTCTAGAGGAAGCTGCTTCAAAACAGACATTTGGTTCAACCTCTAATCAAACATTCAATCAACAATAAAGCCTCAACTATGGTGTTTTGTGACAATTGGCTAGCTTGTGGACCTCTTTACCAAGTACTTACTTCTACCTCTACTCATAGGCATAGGCAGGGATGGCTCATCAACAAGTTCATGAAGGTCTCACAACTCCTAACCCATAACCAGTGGGCTTGGCCTAGAAATATCTCCAACATCATCTCCACTCACTGCAATATTTCTAGTTTGCCAATGCCTAATAAGACCTACTCACTTAAACATACTCTCATAGCCTTATGACAATCACATCCAACTATCCATTGTTCATACTCCAAAATTATTTGGAATGACCTGCAACACAAATGTGGGTTCTACACAAACCCTAATTCATGGTAGGAGTTCTTAATTTGGGCGTCATCGAATTGGAAATAGAAATTGAAGTTTAACAGGATACTCACTTGGAAGCTCATGCTAGCAAGTTAAGCATATCATGTTTGGAGAGAAAGGAATAATAGAATTTTTCGAAATCAATGCTTACGTCCATTGCAGACTATGAATGCTATGATCAACTCAGTCAAATTGAGGCTCTTTTCAATCAAGAAGTGTTCTTGCCAGTTGCCCACACACAGGAAATTGGTAGGGAATGGAATCTTCCAAGCTCTTTCTACGAACCAGACCACACAAATCCCTTCTTCTCCATCCCACCATAACTCTCAACACCACAAACAGCCAGAACAACCTTTACCATTCCACTTCCCGGGAGACTGAACTTGTTGATATTCTCTATTTGGGTTATGTTTTGGGGTTGACATTTGGCACTTTTGGGCCTGTATGTTTGGTTTTCTTTTTGGGCATCAATGGGTTGATACAGTGTCATCTTTTGGGTTCTTTCTGATATGGGTTGCTTGGCCTATACTGTTTATTGGGGTATGCCCCAATTTTACTAGTACATTATTTTTCCTTTTATGATACTCTCATTATTTATCGAAAAAAAAAAAAACGTAAACAAAAACTTGTGAGCATATTCAAATTAGAGTATTCCATATGACTAAAATTTGTTTGAATTTTCTTGAGCATCAACTTAATATTTTTTTTCTTTTTCTTTTGCCAATTGAGTGATGTTGTGTTTTAAAGTATAAAATTAATATCTTGAATTAGGTATTTGATAAGTGTACAAAATTTGCTATTTTATACCCAATAATTAATATTTTTTATTAGATAAATGTTCTTATTCCTACTTTTTCATGTTTTATATGGGCTAATTTCGGAATGAGAAGAAAAGAGGCAAAAATGTGAACACCAAAAGCCTTGTAGTCAAATTCAATTTCAAAATTGGCGTTTAATCAAATCAGCAAATATCTAGCCAAATTGGAAAACATATCATTTCAAATTGGAAAGAAGCAAGATTTTATATATTTTTTATGTTAATTTATTTTATTTTATTTTCACTCATGTAATTAGAATTTTCCCCTCCTAATCATTTTATTCTAAACTCTATAAATATGAACATATGTAGAGGAGCTAGGATGTAAGAGTTAATGAGAGAAAATAATAAAAAAAATTACAAATTTTTTGTCTTGAATTTCTTTCTTA